GATCCTCGACAACGTCGAACCTCGATCCTCGATGTCCTTGCCCAACCTCGTGAGCTACGCAGAGCAGCGGGGTCGCCTCCGCCGACAAGACGCGCGTACGCTGCCCGAGTGAGGTCGCGCTCATGCGCCCTCGTTCCCAGCGAGGCGTGCCTCGCCGGACGCGCCCGCGTCAGCCGCGGCGGAAGGTCGCCGTGTCATCTCGCGTACACCTTAGGCGATGCTTAAGAAAACCTAAGTTTTCGGCCAGAGTCTCGATTATTCTTAATGTTTCAATGTAAATCCTAAGATTTGAATGGGCATTCTGGGTTTTTCCCGGAAAGGGCGCGGGCCCAGGGTTCTCTTTTAGCCGTTTACCCCCGGATCTGACGGGTCAAGCGCCGGCGAAATTATTTGCGATAAATAACGAGGTAAAGTGCTGATTTTTTTAGAAAAAGTGCGTTTTGTGCGTGCCCGCTCGAGGAAAGTTCGCCCCCCATCTCGGATCCTCGATAAATAACGGGGTCCGCAGACCCCCGCTTTCCCTCGTAAAAAAGAGGGTGCGGAGCGTTTTTCGCAGAATCCTCGAAAAATAACGGGGTCTGGAGCCCCGACCGCGACTCGGAAAAGCGCCCCGCGCGCAGGAATTCCGAGGATGTCTCGCGCGTGCCGCGTCCCGCGCGCAGGAATTTCGAGGATGTCTCGACTAATTCGCTTGTTTTGTCAGGATTTCTTAGAACTTTGGCAGGATGTCTCGAGCGAAACGCTTATTTTACATAGTTTGTGGAGGATGTCTCGAGCGAAACGCTGGTTTCCGCAAAATTTGGAGATGTCTCGAGCGGGGGGCCAGAATTCAGAGGATGTCTCAGGCGAAATGCTTGTTTTCGTGTCCCGCTCGCGGGAATTCCAAGGATGTCTCGCGCGGGCCGCGTCCCGCGCGCAGGAATTTCGAGGATGTCTCGACTAATTCGTTTGTTTTGTCAGGATTTCTTAGAATTTTGACCGGATGTCTCGAGCGAAACGCTTGTTTTTCATAATTTGTTGAGGATGTCTCGAGCGAAACGCTGGTTTCTGCAAACTTGGGGATGTCTCGAGCGGGGGCCTCGTGGGGGGCCAGAATTCAGAGGATGTCTCAGGCGAAATGCTTGTTTTCACGTCCCGCTCGCAGGAATTCGGAAGATGTCTCGCGCGTGCCACGTCCCGCGCGCAGGAATTTTGAGGATGTCCCGTAGCGCGTCCCCTTGGCACGGCCTACGGTGCGACCCCATGGCACGTCCCTTGGCACGTCGCCTGGCGCGTCCCTGGGGACGTTTCGCGGCGCGTCCTCCTGGCATGTCCCCCTGTCAATTAGCTCTGGGGCAGCTACTATGTGTTCAGGAAGCTCGAGCTTCAGATCCAGATCAGTTCGGTCAGGACTTGGATGCAAAGGAAGACTCGCGCGCAGGAATTCCGAGGATGTCTCGCGCGTGCCGCGTCCAGCGCGCAGGAATTTCGAGGATGTCTCGACTAATTCGCTAGGTTTTGCAGGATTTTCCGTAGGAGGGCCAAGGAGAGGCCCCGAAGGCTCTGGGAGCGGCGACGACGACGACGACGACGACGACGACGACGACGTCTCTTGGGGTTCTCTTGGACGGTTTGTAGAGTCCACGCTTACATGATCGACGGGTCGAGGACAGCGCGACGACGACGACGTCGCGGTGGCGGCGGCGTCCACCACGACGACAAAGTCTCATCTTAGAGCCTTGCGTGGGGGGGTCTCTTGGGGTTCTCTTGGAGGGTCTCTGGAGGGTCTGTAGAGCCCACGCTTACACGATCGAGGGATCGAGGACAGCGCGACGACGACGACGACGTCGCGGTGGCGGCGGCGGCGACGACGACGACGACAAAGTCTCATCTTAGAGCCTTGCGTGGGGGGGTCTCTTGGGGTTCTCTTGGAGGGTCTCTTGACGGTTTGTAGAGCCCACGCTTACACGATCGAGGGATCGAGGACAGCGCGACGATGACGACCACGTCGCGGTGGCGGCGGCGGCGACGACGACGACAAAGTCTCATCTTAGAGCCTCTCGTGGGGGGGTCTCCGGGGGTTCTCTGGGAGGGTCTCTTGGGGGTCTGCAGAGCCCACGCTTACACGATCGAGGGCTCGAGGACAGCGCGACGACGACGACGACGTCGCGGTGGCGGCGGCGGCGGCGATGACGACGACAAAGTCTCATCTTAGAGCCTTGCGTGGGGGGGTCTCTTGGGGTTCTCTTGGAGGGTCTCTTGAGGGTCTGTAGAGCCCACGCTTACACGATCGAGGGATCGAGGACAGGGCGGCGGCGGCGACGACGACGACAAAGTCTCATCTTAGAGCCTTGCGTGGGGGGTCTCTTGGAGGGTCTCTTGGGGGTCTGTAGAGCCCACGACGACGACGTCGCGGTGGCGGCGGCGGCGACGACGACGACAAAGTCTCATCTTAGAGCCTTGAGCCAAATTGGATCCAAATTAGTTCGGCCAGGATTCGGAGGCCACGGGCGAGTTGATC